CAATACAAGTAGCTGAGGACCACCTTCTGTTCTCCTTGAATATGTGGCAGAGTTCGGTTTGGATCTCAAAACTGCTTTTAAAATGCTGTAATTGTCACGAGTAAAGCATGCTCTGTACCTTGCCTTGTTCACATTTAATCAGCTTTTGCACCACTTCCCCTGACAAGCCCTGATGAAAAAGGTAGCATGTTCCATTACAGCTGCGGTTTATTATAAACCTCAGGATAATGGTAGTGTTAAGGGCATAGAGTGCATTATTAAATAAGGATCAATCAGCTGCAGTGTTTTTGGCAAGTTTCTATTACGCAATTGATTTTAAAAACATTCTGTTACTTAGTTAAGAAAAATGAGTTGCCCGGGAGAAGCTCGGATGCGTTAATGCTCTGTCGTCTATAAATCATCTAAATTGCCAGCCGTTTCAACACGAGGCTTTGCTCTTGAGGTACGTCAGTGGATCTTTGCACCTAGCAGAACAGTTTTTGGGATGCTTCAGTCTCTCAGCAGGGTCTTCCTTTCCTATGCTGCCAGTCTCAAGACTTTGCCTCTGCAAACTTCCACAAGCAAATGAGTAATATGTCAGCCTTCTCTTAACAAATTAAGATGACCTCGTATATACTGTCATTATGTTCTGTCAACGACCCTTTGCACTGCAGCCAGTCTTTGTTTCAGTGGGGACATTTCAGTGAATGGTACCTGGTGCTACGGCGTTAGTAGACAGCTCTCATTTACTAGAACAGGGCGACCCGTGGAACGTTGCTTCTCAGGAAACAATGTGAAGCGTTAAATACTTCAAGCCAAGCTGCTTTGATTGCATATAGCTATAGGGTGTTAAAACAAGTTCCAACAACAGAGGAGTGGTTTAACTAATTTATTTCAGAATAAAACATTGGATCAGAGAATCCTAGAACTTTTCTTAAATTCAGAAACGTTTCCTGATTGATTTTGGACGCCACAAGTACTCTACATAATATTTACATCATATAGAAGTCTGTAAATATATCCTTTTTTAATGTTGTTTTAATTTTTTTCAATTTTTTTCAATTCTAACACTTCAAACAGTGAACAATTAATCTTCCAATTACATTCACATCCTGTAACTCTTGCAAAGGAACAGAGGAAGAGTAAAAAATCTCCTCCTTGGCCCATCACCCAGCCTGGTGGTGCACACTCCCGATTGAGATCAGGGCCCTGTGGGATTTTTATTGCACTTCTGCAGGGCCTGCAAAATGGAGCTGTTCCACCAGGCCTTTGGTTGAGGCGGCGGCCATCAAATAACATTGGCCTCCCCTGCTCAAGCGACCATGGCGCTATTTACATTTTGGGTGCCTGGAGTTACTGACCTGGTCTAGCAGAACGCACCCTGGGGTGAGCCCAGCAGACACTGAAAGAAGAAACTATTCGCCGAGCTGCCAGTAGATATTTAAATTAGTTGACTAAATTTTAAATTGTTTGAGGTAATGTTTTAGTGAATTGTCCTATTTAAGTAACGTATGGTTTTATTATTGGATTGTATATTATAAGCCACCTGAGCTCCTGAGCCTGCTTGTGGGATAGGGTGGAATAAAAGTACATATATGCAACACAGAATACAAATGTCTTCCAGTTCTTATCAGGCAGTGGTTTTACTCTGTCAGGTTATACCAGCTGGAGACATGGTTCAATCTAAAATTAATTGCTTTTAGCACTGCTTGCAATTAACTGTGTGGCTATTTGCATCATTAGGTTTGATTTTATTTTAAGTATTTATACTCTGTGCTTCCTCTAAGGCATTTCCCAAGGGGCTTACAGCACAATCTTAAGCGTGTGTACTCAAAAGTAAGTCCCAGTGAATTCAATGGAACTTACTTCCTAGTAAATGTGCTTAAGATGTCTATCATAGATGTCTTAAGTTCATGAACTCCTGCTGTGTACCATATCAACTCTCATATCAAATTGCATTCTGCTTTTGCTTGGGTTGGAATACGGTGAGCCAAGGGCACGCATCAGAAACATTTCTGACATTTCTCGAGAGAAAACGGTGGCTCAAGTCATCATACAACACTGGAAGCAAAACATTAAGGCAACTCAACCCTATTATGGCCTGCAAGTAGAGCAGCATAGTTCTGTGGTGATTACTTAACAATGAAGTGGGATTGGGTTCGTGTATTGATATTAATTTTTTTGTACTTGAGATTTTCTGCTGGTTCATGTTAGCTTGGGGAAATGAGAAAAAGAGGAGGAGGTGTGGTTTGTATAAACAATTGTTTGTTTGTCTTTGCTTCAGATGATGAACCTGATTCTGCAGATGGAAAAATTGTATTTAGAAAACCTTTGAAGCGTCCATCAGGAGAGAAGTATTCTGGTTTGACAGCCAGCTCAAGTAAGAAGAAAAAAGAGACAAAGATTATTTCTCCAACCTCCCAAAGTACAACCAAGCAAGTGAAAAATAGCAGTTTGCTCTCATTTGATGAGGAAGACAGTGACGATTAGGTAAAAAGTTAAGCTGGGTGCATAACAGAAGAAGAGAGGAGTGCTTGACTCTTAGTCATGCCTCTATGTGTGTATGTGTGTGTGTGTGAGAGAGAGAGAGCTAGAGAGAGAGAGAGAGAGAATTCTGCAGAAGTAGACGGGAGTACAGCTCTGGAAGTTTTTTCCAGAATTAAAATTCCATCTAGTTTTCCATCCATTTGATGCCGAGCATGAAATCTTTTACAAGTGCACGTACAATATACCTGCAAACTGATTTTTTAAAGCTAATCATTCCTCTCTCCCGACAACATCTTTGTTGTCAAATCTGGACAACTGGATGTGCAGTTTTACCCAGTTATACCTGATTGCCCATTTGTAGAAGTGTAAAATCTGCTTATTCTGTTTGGAAACTGTAAAATTTTGCTCTGGTAAAAGTTTTCTGTTGTATCTCTGAGGACTGAAAGAACTGCTAAGATGCTGATCACACGGAATATATTGATTTTTCAGAAGAGGAAACTGCTGCAGAATGTCCTCTAGTGGAAAAATGCTTGGCTAAGTGCAGTGTGTTCTGTAACCAAGGATGGATTGTGTGTTGCTACAAAGCATGTGGCAGGATTACCCATATAAAGCTTCATCAGGGAGCTGATACGAAGTTGCTGTGTGCAACAGCTGTTTTTAGTTTAGTTGGTATTTTGATACCACCGTTAAATGACGGCAAAATCATTTTCTATTTATTCCAGTTTTGATCCACTGTTCTTGAGAAAATAAACCTGGTGTTCTCAATCTATATGTTCAGGGTTGTTGTTCTTTTAACAGGTTCCCAATTTTTCCCCAATAATTTCAGTTATTATTATTTAGTTCTGGAATGTAACAGTCCCCAAACTGGTGGGGTAGAAATCGAATAAATAAATAAATAATAAGTTTGAAAAGATCCCAATGAAAAGACTGAGCCAGTGTGTTGTGGTGGCCAGAGTGCCATACTAGGATTTGGGAGACCCAGGTTTGAATTCCTACTCTGCCGTGGAAGCTTGCTGGGTGATCTTGGGCCAGTTACACGCTCTCAGTTTAACTTACCTCACAGGGTTGTTGTGAGGTTAAAATGGAGGCAAGGAGAACAATGTAAGCTGGTTTGAGTCCCCTCATTAAGGATAAAGGTGGGTATAAGTAAATGAACTGATTTTATTTGAGACATTTATATGCTGCCTTCCTATCCAAACAGGGTCCCCCAAGGCCCATTCTAATTCTTGGCCCCGAGAAAAGAAATCCTGCTTCTAAGGTGTCCAAGAAAGATGCTAATCTACTCCGCCTCTTAGGAGGCTCTTTTTTCATGCACGGACCAGCAGTGCTCAAACCAAGTCCGGTTGGTTTGGTCCTTCTTTCTCCTTCCTCCACTAGGCAGCTGACAGAGGCAGAGCAAGGGATTATTCTTTCTTGGGGATACTACAGGGGGACACTTTAAAGAGGACCTCAGGGGAGTAAGACAAAGGCTCCCATTCAATTTATTTCACTGTTTCAAAGGGAAATAGGAGAAACTGTTATCCAGTCTTGGACTTGCAGGTGCTAACAGACTTATTTGAAAGCTTATCCTATATTCAGGAAAAAAAGTTATTGAAATCTTCCCTGGAGTGGATGAACACTTGTGATTTCTAGATCCCGAGGCCTAGCCCATCATTCTATATCACAAAGAGTTCCTAGATTCTTAGGAGCACAGCCGCTTTCATGTCGTAGGGCCTGCCTGTCTGTGACCACTATGCTACATCACGTTTCTCCGTCTGTCGTAATGGCTGAAGTTAGCCAACTGGACATTATGGAGCAAATGCATAACCAGAGGTCATTTCGGGGGTATTGCGGGGGATCGCAGTTCCCCGGGTGAGGTGTGGGGGGCGGGGCACACGACGAAGCCCCGCCCCCTGCTTCCGGCCACCCCGCTTCCGCCCCTCATTCAGCCAGGAGGAGGCAGGAGAAGAGGGAGGGTAAGTTGCTTCCTCCCCGCCTCTCCCCACCCCTGCCTGCCTGGGGCCAGGGAGGGCCTTGGCGGGGCTTCCTCGCACTCCCGCCGGCCTTGCAGGTCCACCGCCGGGCCTTATGATGTCAGGGTGTGTGGCATATGCTAATGATTTATGCTAATGAGTCCCCCTAGCTCTTTTTCTACGAAACTACCCCTGCGCATAACTATGTGGAAGTCTTCCACTTGACCACCTGCCATGTCCTGACATGGTAGATTCCTCAGCCACTTGAGGCATAGAGGGGCAGAGGCCTCTGCAAGGAACCTCTGTTGAACATGATTGCTTGCTTGGTTGTCTGTGAACTGGAGAGCGTCCTAATTCTCCTGCAGAGTTGTGTCATACACCTGAAATGCTGCTTCGCTAGCCCACTGTGATCACAGAAACGGCTCATCATATGTGGGGAAATAGTAAGCACCAGGTATGTGCATGACCAGCCATTACAGTTGGCCATTATAGGGTTTGTAAGACTCAAGCAGCTCCTGATTAGTTCAGATGTAATTCTGCCCTCCTCCCAGGGCTGAGGGAGGGACGGGTATTGGGGGAAACTGAAGTAGCAGCAGTTTGGCTCCCAAGGCAACATGGAGATCAAGCTGAGGCCCAGTTTGGGGCTGGTAGATACAAGGGTCAAGTGGAGAGAGGGAAGATGGGGGTGGTGCTGTGCTGTGTATAAAAGGGAGCCAGAACTTGAACCTGTGGATTGGGGAATTTTACCAGAAAAGGAATGTCTGGTTTCAGGACAGGGAAGGAGAAATGTTTGGATGGGGGGCAGTGTTAGGAACAAAGTTAAAGCAATGGACGGAGAGAATCCAGTTCCATCAGCTGTACATACTAACACAGTGAACTAATATTGGATTCAGAGGTTCGTTTCCACTGTTGGTGGGGCCTGTTTCCAGTGTAAGGAGTCCTCCCGTGGTTCCACCATGAAAGGCTCTATGGAACTTTAAGATCCAGACCCAGTTTCTGATACAGAATTGGCCTGCTCAGCGCCTAAAGCAAAGGGTGGAGTGAAAGAAGGAAACATTGAGAGAGTGCTGCGAGGCTGAAGAGGGGTGGGTTCGTCTGGTTTAAAACTCCAGAAGACAGAGACTTTTAAAAGCGCCAGTGAGACTTCTATATTTTTGAAATGTGACTGTAGAAGTATTGTTTATGATTATAGCCAACAGTATATTGCCTGACCCTTTGCCCATTTAACCAATGAATAAAAGGTACTCTCTAAAGAACTGGAAGTTTGCCAGAAATTCTGTGTGCTTGGAGTTGTTTTCCCCCCTTCCCCTACACAAAATGCTCTGCATGCATCTTTCCCACACAGTCTGCAAAGTAGCTCACATTAACTGAAAAGCAATGCCAGCACTGTGTTTATCAAGGTGGTGAATGATGGCCAAGAGATCAAAGGGAATTAAATTTACCTTGAAAGGAGAGTGGGAGGGAAGTGAAACCATCAAGCTGATTCTGCCTAGTCAGAATCGGTTGTTATGAGCCTAGTAAGCAAATGTATTTAAACGTGGTCGCTTTGAGCGTGCCACTTTCATTCTCTAAATAGAGCAGGCAGTGCTTTTTGGACTCCTCGGCCCCTTGTGCTGTCTGCCCAAGGTGAGTGGCATTTCTTTAGTCTCTTCAGTAATGTGCAGCAGGAACAAAAAGCACTCAAAAGTGGAGCAAACGCTCTAATGGACTCTGAAGCCCAACCTACTACCCCAAGGCACATGTTTACATCTAACTTGCATTGAGCCCAAAGGATGGGGTGCATTGGGCATGCAAAGAAATGACATAGCTGCCAGGTATGAAAGAAAAGACACTGTAGGTAGGAGCAAGAACACTTGTCAAAAAGGAGGATGATAGAAACTGGGACAGTTTGAACATACCTAGTGGTGGTGGAAAGTGCTGTGAAGCTGGCAGGAGACGTACGGTTGACTCCACAGGGTTTTCAAGGCAAGAGGCAAACAGAGGTGGCTTGCCATTGCCTGCCTCTGCGTAGCAACCCTGGACTTTCTTGGTGGTCTCCCATCCAAGTACTAACTGGGGCTGACCCTGCTTAGCTCTTGAGATCTGGCAAGATTGGCCTCGTCTGGACCATCCAGGTCAGGGTGAATACACCTATTAGGACAATCTTATTCAGAGTACTGTCCACAGTTTGGGTCACTACCTTCTTTTTGAGATGATTGAGCTGGAGTAGGTGTAGAAAAGGACAATCAAAATGGTCATGGGGTTGGAACATTTTCCCAAAGGGTAGGTTACACATTCTGGGGCTTTTGGGTTTAGAGAAAAGATGATCAAGAGAGGACAGAAGGGTTTATGAACTGCATGGTAGGGAGAAAGAGGATAGTGTGTGTTTTCTTCTCTCTCCTTCAGCCATACAGCCAGAATTCAGAGACACCCAACAAAATAGATGGGCAGTAGACTGAGGACAGAGAAGAGAATTATGTCTTTGCATAATCAACTTTTGGAAGCTCACTGCCATAAGACATAGCAGTGGCCACTCCATTAGACTTTAAAAGAGAGATGAACATATCCTTGGACAAGGATAGTCCTTGTGTTTCAGAGGCAGTGTACCTCTGACCACTTTGTCTTCTAGGCCCTTCTTTGTAAGAGGTATCTGGCGGCAAACAGAATGCTGAACTAGATGACTTGTTAGACTGGTCCATCAGGACAGTTCTTAGAAACCATCCAGTAATGGGTCTCCCAAGCCTCAAACAATGAAAATGCCTAAATTCTGAGAAATTTATTCTTCCAACTCTTGCTTGCAGTGTTCCCAATCATGGGGACAGAGCCCTAAGCGCATACATGCAAAGGACTTGCACACACCTTCAGGTGAGCAGGTGGGGGTGAAGCTTGCTGCCCCAAGCCGCCTTCATTCTTTTATTTTGACTTTTGTCCCACCCTCCTCCGAGAAGGCTCAAGGCAGGTCACAACATTCTTAAAGCCATGCAAAATTGAAACAGAGTACAATAATCAAACAGTTAAGAACAATTTATAGACATAAAACCTTAAGAAGCGCCGGCTAAAACAATTCACTGAGTAGGATGTGATTCCAATTATGATGCAGCTGCAGCTCTAAGCAGAGCAGGAGAGTGGGTGGGTGAGGAAGCAGCTAAGATGGACGGTAGTGCTGCTGGGCCCATCTAAGCCAGGCAGAGCAGTGCAAGGCAGGGGAGGCCAGTATGGTGGAATTGTCACCGCCTTGACCTTAGGCCTAGTGGAACATCTCTTTACACACAGATTCCGTCCCCATAGGATAAAGTGTGTGAAAAGTGTTTGTGCCTGTGTACTTCTACAAGTTAGACAGGCATAGGCTCTGAGTTTGGATCTGTGATTGGAGTGGACTAACTAGTATGCTCCAGTCTGTTCCCCTATGCACATTGCTGTGTACTCACAATGTCATATACATGATGTGTGCCTAGTGCTGATTGGACTGCGCACGAGAAGCTCCATGTATCCAGTAAACATCATGTATCCTGTCACATCAACCATTAATACTGCAGATTTCACTCAAACTGAGCCTCTCTGCCCATTATGTCACCACTGCTACCACATGTTCTGTTTTAATTGCATATTGAACAGAAGAGTGCCTCTCTGCTCATTATGTCACCACTGCTACCACACGTTCTGTTTTAATTGCATATTGAACAGAAGGCCTTGAACTAGAACTAATTGGTCTGGTTCCAAAGAAAAGTGAGAAGAAGCCTGTTACTGCTGTTTCAACTTTATCCGTAACCAACCCTGAGCTCTTGGCTAGCACGTTCTTCAATATGTGGCCTTACCTTTTGGAAACCAGAATCCATG